CCYTKKTWAATGAATTTTTTTCCATATCAAGTTATCATGCGTTTTTTCTAATTCTTAAAACGTAAGCAGTATACCTATACTATAAGAAAGTCTATATAATATATTACGTGCATTCTATTGCTGAATTTTTATTTGCCAAGTTTTTTTGTGACAAAAAAATGTGTAATTAGGAAACCTTAATACAAATTAATAGATTATAAAACGAAATTATTTAAAAATAACTTTTAGATTAGAAAAGAAAAATTCTGGGAAAAAAGAATCAATTTTTCAATTATTCAAATAATATTATCGGTTGTGATAATACAGTATAATATATGTATAATATTATGTGTTGAATTATAATTTTAGAAGTATGTTGATAATTGTATTATTGAGCCTAGTTTAAAGATTTTTTAAATTTTTTGGTTCTACAAGACTTGCAAATTTTTAACAAATTAATGTGTAATCTACAATGCTACTCATAAAGTTTTGGTTAGAGTTAAGGCCTTGAAATAGTTTAGGCCTATTCATTGACATTCACTATCGTGATTGTGATTGTGCACATCCAGAGGTCCTGATACCCAAGTTTTTATTTCACCAAACGTTCCATATCTCAATATCATTGTATAGTACTCCTATTACTATTATTCTTATTCTATAGGATGGAAAAAAGTTTAAATAGATTTCAATGATTATGAAACCAGCAGGTTAAAATAATATATTGGAATATTCCTGACTTCTYGCCACTCTCTTTAGGTTTTAATGTAACTTAGATAAATAAATCCAGGGCCATTGCTAGGGAAAGGTTTAGGGGCTCCCCCCACCCTCCCATTCAACCAAGTAGAAAATGTAAAAATGTCTAGTATATTCTAAAATTTAAAATGTTTATTTTTAAATCATTTTTTAATTTTTTAATTGAATAAATATTTAATATAATATTATAGTAAATTTATAGTATGGTGTCAAAGTTGTATTGATAGTACCGGTAGTGTATATTGTGATAAATGATAACTGATAAGAGTTTAAATWGGTAATAAAACAAAATAGAGATAAATTAATTCCAATCATTGAATGCATTTTACTATGACGTAGTTACCAGGAAATTCTTTTAAGTGACAATATGAAAGAGGTATGGGCCCTCCCCATAAAATATTCCTAGCTACGGCCCTGAATAAATGGGAGATGTTAAACTGCGGCAAAATTAATACCTTGCATGTAAACTGCGGCAAAAAAAAATTAAGATCATACAATTTGCGGCAAAGCCGATAATATACATTATACAAACTGCGACAAATTATTTTATATACCTTCTATGTATATACCTATGAATATACCTATGTATTTACCTACCATATACGTATGTCGTTTAATTTGTCTTGCGTATAAATTGGTAAGGTAAATCCAAATGTATTTTTAAGATTTAACGAAACATATTGGTAATATCCTTTACATTTGATAATACTAGTGGTTTAGAAAATTACTAAATTTGGCTCTATCTAAACTTTACATTGAAGGAGACACAGATGAAGAAAAATTTTTAAATTATATTTTTGGTCTCCCGTTCCTTGACYCTGACGAAGTCGAAGATTTGTTTGTTTTTGATTTAATTGCAGAYATGCCATCTAATAATAAAATAKTACAATTTTGCGATTATTTAACAGAAACTTATATGCAAGACTTATTMTCTCCTTCCTTGTGGGAAATGAAAAGAAGAAGTTATAACAAAATAAATAATGTATGTGRATCTTTCCATTCAAAATGTAATGCGTATTTTTATCATCATCATCCATCACTATATAAWTGTATAGATGCTCTACAGGATATTCATGTTGACACATATATCTACTTGCGACAACGTAAAAATACAAATTTATTAACGAACAGCGAAAAATGAAAGAAGATGGACGAATTTCAAGATATGAATTTTTGAAAAATGTATGTTTTAAGAACAAACGACAAAATGTTAATTAGGTACCTATTGTATTATTATTTTATTTTTTAAATTTATTTATTTTTTGGTTATAAGAGCCCTATACAATCTTTTAAATATTTTTTAATAATATTAATAATATTTTTCAATTTTTTTTTTTTTGATTATACGATCATTAAGATCTCTTAAAATAATTTTTAATAATAATAATAATATTTTTCAATTTTGAAAATTGGTTTTTCTTTATTTTTACGTCTAATACTCTTAATAGTCTCTAGATAAATAGATGTCATAACTCATATTATACACAATATACACGATATGTATATAATTTAGTACATATAGAAGGTATATAAAATTAATTGTCGCAGCTTATATAATGTATCTTATCGGTTTTGCCGCAGATTGTATAATCTTAATTTTTTTTTTGCTGCAGTTTACATATCGACTTTTAGAAAAAGGTTAATTTTGCCGCAGTTTACATACAGCCGAATAAATCGATCTATTCAAACTGTCAATAACCCGTAAAAATAGGTACATAATATGATTATTTCTTATATTCATAAATCTAAAAAAATAGTATTACTTATGTTAATGAAAATTTATTTCATTYTAATAACCGGCCGTGTCTATATCGCGATAGTCTTCGTTGTTATAAAATTGAACTTAAGACCTGAAGCTCTCTGCAGTTGAAATAAAAATAAATATTATATTTTACAGCGTACGTAATAATATTAAAGCTATAATATGATGAGGTCGCTTAAATATTATATTATTTAAAATTTTATAAATTATCAATGTGGTGATTGTTATTGTTTTTTAGAAGCCAAATTTTAAACTATTAAATATTATAATATTAATTGCTATCTACAAAATAGGTCTTCTAAGGGGGCCAAAAAAAAAGAGAAGATTTTGAAGACTGCTCTGATATAGATGTTATATTGTTATAGACGTTTTTTAACTTTTTATATTTTTAGTAGTTATACATGTCGTCGGCGTGTTCCGCAGATACAGCGCAGGTCATATTTAACGATAGGTACACATAATTCCGATATGTCTACTAATTAGGGTATCTATTTTTAGACTGCGAATACAGTGCTGTAGTCGTTCGTTTGCGTTGGTGTCGCACCACGTACCTAACCGTTTTTTTTTTTTATTATTAATCATATCTATATATACATATATATCTATATATTTATATTATAATATACTTACCTATGTTGACTATACATCTTATGATAATACTATATACGCATACCTATCTATATTATATAAATAATAATACGTCAGTTAAAAAAAAATATCTCTCATTATCGGCCTGCGCGCACATTCATCGTTTTTTTTTTTTTTTTTTTTTTGTCTTAAATATTCTGCAATACATACATAGATAAGACACGTCTCGGTAAAATATCTCACGTTGCCTACGAACACACACTTCTTGTCGTGGGGCTTAAAAATTATGACGGACGAAGATCTGCGTACAATGGCAGTCGATTCGCAGACGCCTTCATCGTGGCTAATAAAGCACCGAAAGCGACGTCGCGGAAAAAAATTAAAAAAAAAAACAAAACAAAACATTCGTAAACAATAATTTTTCTGGGCCGCCTTAGACATCACGCGGTCGTGTAGTTCATAATACTCGCGAAACCTGCCACAGTAGAACTCTTTCGACGGGCAAACGGTATAGTAGGTATAGTATAGAGGTACTATTTTTGTGCGTTCTTCTACGAAATCCTCGGTCACCGTGCGACGAGTTGGCCGTCGTTGAATACTCATACACCGTAATCCAGTAAGTATATAATTACACGCAATATATAGGTCAAAATTCCATTTAGGGAATAATAAATGTTATTTTTTTCCGTTCGTTTCTCTCGCATCCGCCCCAAGATCGTCGCCGTCGTCATCTACTATTCATATATATGTATATAAATATAATGCATCTTATAATAACAATATGAAATATATTTTAGTGTCCGTCTGGCCGCGCACAAGTGCAGTGTGATCACTAATATAATATACGCCTATAGAGTTTATTTTTAAAAAAGACGCRTATTAATTTCTCGTCGGCCAAATAACTTGTCAACGATCCACCTTTTCTTCCTCGCTCTCTCTCCGTCACTTCCTTAGTCAGGTCCCGTCGTCCTCCGAGCGAATGTCGCGCGGCGCACGGTGTCTGTACGTGTAAAATATATAGGTAATGCAAAACATTATATTGAATAGTAATAATAATAACAAAAAACTGTGCCGAAGACACATAATATCAACATTATACTCAGTGTAAAATATTATTATTATTATGATACCTTCTCGAAGAATAAATAATAAATAATATAAATACCGTGGTCGCATTTCAGGGTTCGCAAAACGCAGAGCCGGAACTCCAGTCGTTCCTGTTGGATGACAAGTCCAAGATGAAAGAAGTACCGCAAACTAAGTAAGTTTTGTCATAATACAAATTTATTTATTTATTCAAAAGTTCTCCTTTTTTTTATCTCATCGAAACATGCGATTCAAAATGTCGCCKATGTTAGTTTACATGGTATATACCACGTATACCTAGAAAATAATGTTATTCGGTGGTCAGTGTAAACGATTTTACGCGATGAGAATAAAATAGTTAAGGTTCCTTATACCAATTTAAGTTTAACTGTATATTTACATCTCAGTAACTCGTCCAATCTACTCTTTCGACGATAATCGATTATATTAGCGACGTTTTAATGTTTAATGTTAATGACCGATTTTTTTTTCAATTTTGACGAACAMATTTTATTAATTAAAAAAATTAAGACATTTTTATTAGTTGACATTTTGTTACTGCTGGCGAGTTATAATTATTATAATTATTATCTACATACAGTGTGAACACCAATCATATTCATTAATTTTATTATAAAGATCACATTTCTTAATGCTGTGATTTTTTCGTTTAAGAAATTTAAGAAGAGTTCTGATGTGTTACAATTTTGTCTTTAAAATCCTAATTAATTTTATTTTGTGTACATCGTCAATTTGATGACTTTTTTTTTGAAAACTACTTAAATGTATCAAAGTTTAAATTCGAACGATAAGTTTTCGAGTTATTAAAGTTTATCCATAATGAAAATAATAGTTCATGATTAGAAGGTATGACTATCCCGTATGAGGATCACGATAATTTGGTATAGTTTTTGATATTATTAATTCCTAAACATTTTGTTATAATTAGAAAAATTTACCGAGTTAAATAAGTAACAAAAAATATAAGTCATGTATAGGTATAATAATATGTTTTATTAGATAATTTAATAAATATTACATAATAATTATATATTATATATATTTTATGTAAAACCATTATTAAAGACTATCATCCTAAAGCCTGATAATATATATTATAAAGTCTAATGACTCATAATTTTATATATTGATTGAGTTTTGATTTATATACGTCAACATTAAAAAAAATCATGTGAATATCAGATGTTTGTGTCGCGTCGCCCTGCTTAGCTAAATAAGTCT